GGAAGTTTTTTGTTGGGAAATTGCAAAGCTATGTTGGGAAAATGTAGCTCCAGTTTTACCGAAAGGAGGGCCAGATTGTGTTTGTGTGAATAGTTTCCAAGCCAGTACTGAATGCAGAGTAGGTGCTACTTAGCTTTTACATGTTGGGACTTTGTATCTCTATAACAGTTACCATCGACAATGCGGGAAGCACGGGTGACAAAAAAATCAAATAGTTTTCTCTGAGAAAGTAGCAACAGGCTAGAAATCAGTTAGATACTGTTAATAGGATGTTATAAACTCTTGGGCGAGGGTTAAAATTAATGAACTCCGAGATCAACAGATGTCTCATCCTATAGATCTCTTCTGAGGTTAATAGCTTTTCTTCTTTCCCCAGCTTTGTGAGCTACAGACCAGTTAGAAAATAATTCTCGATTTAATAAACATCTCTTTTAATTGTGTGCTGTTGAGGTGTATATTCAGTTTTAACTGCAGTTGTGTAGAACGGTCATCTGTGTACAGTAGCTGGCTGACTAGAAGTTATTCTGCTTTCCTCCTGTTGTCTTTTTTTGAGTAAATAAGGGCTTTCTTCCTATATAAATATACAGAGGAGGAGGTAAGGCTTAGGCCTTTCTTTGTAAGTTTCTTGACCAGTGGAGTTGCGCAATGACTTTTTCTGACAATGCAATGAATTATGAAACTTTCACATACAAAGTCAAAGCCCATTACCTTTAAGATGTTTAATATTCTGGTTTTTAATGCTACCCTTCCAAGAGCGTTCCTGTAACTGTGAAATTCTTTCCTGCACATATTTATGAATGTATAAGTAGCTCTTTCATACTACTTTTTTCCCCATTTTATCTATGTAATTGACGTGAGCCATCTTTCCATGGCCTTGTTGGCTCTTTTAAGATAAATGGCATCACAGAACGTCAGGTGTTGTGGGAAGCAATTCCTAAAGTGGGCAATGGAAAAGGTCTAAGGTCCTCCTGGCTCAGCTTAGATGCTGAGAGTTAGTGGGGTGGCTCAGAAGACCAGAGACACTACCTCTGCCCCTTCTGCTGCTGCACATCAGAGAGCAGCATTTGACCTCTCTGCAGCTGTTCAGGAAATTTTAAGAACTGAGATGTTTAATCTCTGATGTGATTCCATTTGTGTCACAAAAAGGAGATGCTTTCCTAGCTGGACTTTGCATGTTATTTGGAATCTCAATGGGCATCTTCAGGGTTTTTGGTTGGAAACGTGTTGGCCATGAACCAGTTTTTAATTTTTTCAAAGGGCTAGATGATCTGGGGAGGGGACGAGACCTTTGCTCCTTTCCATACGTGTATATTCTGAATGACTGTAGATGCTGAGAGTTAGTGGGGTGGCTCAGAAGACCAGAGACACTACCTCTGCCCCTTCTGCTGCTGCACATCAGAGAGCAGCATTTGACCTCTCTGCAGCTGTTCAGGAAATTTTAAGAACTGAGATGTTTAATCTCTGATGTGATTCCATTTGTGTCACAAAAAGGAGATGCTTTCCTAGCTGGACTTTGCATGTTATTTGGAATCTCAATGGGCATCTTCAGGGTTTTTGGTTGGAAACGTGTTGGCCATGAACCAGTTTTTAATTTTTTCAAAGGGCTAGATGATCTGGGGAGGGGACGAGACCTTTGCTCCTTTCCATACGTGTATATTCTGAATGACTGAGTGACTTTATTTCTTGTGGGTAATTAGGTAGAGCCAGTTTTACTTTTGGGGTTCAGGGAGCCCTTTGCAAAACTGAATGAACACAGAAAACCAGCAGATGAGGAGTAAATAAGTAAATATTTAATAAATAAAGGCATGGGGTAGGCATTAGGTGTGGACTAGGAGTCCCAGTGCTGTGCCCTGGTAGCTTGGCTGCACACAGAGCTGTATTTCTGCAGCCCCAGTGATCCCTGAAGGATGTGAGCTGTCATGTGCTAATGCAAGGGATGGGAGGAGAATCCGTTGACCGGGGATCCTGAGGGTGGCATGAGCTTTGTGTGCAGTAGGTGATACTTCCTTCTGAAGCTATGGAGCTGGGTGTGTCAATAATTCCACCAAACCATGTGGCTCCGTTAAGTAGTATTTATTGTTATTTTACCCCTATAGGATTTCTGCCACTAAGAAGAACAGCTTCATTCTGTAGAAGAGCCAGTTGCCCAGCTGAGAATTAGGGTTTTTCTCCTGCTGATCATATTCCTACTTCCTATTTCTCCTATTTATATGTGTCCCCTCATTATATATACATATATGTAGGGAAGTATGTATAGGGAGAAAGGCTTCCAGACTTGCCAAGCCATGCTACAGGAAACCATGCAGATAAAAAATGTAAAATTACATTTGTATGAAAGCAGTCTTAAACGAGGCATACAAAAAGGAGACTGCCATACTGTAGACAGCAACGGTAGCATCTCAAAATCAGCTTCTACTAATAAAAGGCAAATACAATGTAACTGTCCTTAGTGTGACTCTTCCTAGTCCAAACTTAATTGTCCTTCAGGGAAGGATGGAAAGGTCTGTGCTTTCATATTTATTTTTGCCTGATTCAAATAACATTTCCTGTTGACATTGTCATTAAATGCTGTAATTTCCGAGGTTGAATCATTGATGGTCGTGTTCGGCATCTTTCCTGAAAATATGAGTTCATGGAACAAAATGTAAAGGTAGAATTCATATTGTGTTGGAAGTGTTCCCTCCAAATATTTATGAGATACTTGTATTTGTTCTGTGCCCTAAAGAAGTACTCACAGAGGTAAGTAGTGAAGTTATTTTTGTCAGCAGAACGTCAGAAGAGAGATGGTATTTTGACCGGTTTGCTGAGGACAGAAGGAGGAGGAGACCAGGGAAGGGTGAAGGGGAGAATGGGTAGAGCTTCTTTCTCTGGGTTACTGAAAAGGGGAGGCTAGCACCCTTCAGGCCAATATTTGCCATCCTTTAGGTCAGCCTTGTCTATCTTTTTCAGGCTGCTGGCATCTTAAGTATCTACAATTGGTTCCTGTGTTTGCTCAGCGTATTATCTTACTTCTTCAGTTCAAAGGACTCAGATGATAAACAGTCTGAACAGTGTGTCCTTCTTCCTCTATGGTCTCTGCTGCATATAGCATGAGGCTACTTCTTCCTGTCCAAACTGTGGTTGATATGCTGTAGAACTTGCTACTTTAATTTGCAAAGGCTGCCTTTTTACCGTGCACGTTCCTGTGACCAAGCCATTTCTTTAAAAAGTGGCTGTGATGGCAAATGGTGCAATCTTAACCTGGAGAATGTGATAGGTGGCCATAGGGGTTAACGTTCTGGAATCGCCTTTTCCTGCAGTTTTCTCGATTTTAGAGGGCTCCTAGAAGTCAGGACGTGATAAAAGTCTGGAGGGAATGGACTCCCTCTGGGATGTGTTCTTAACTACTCCTTTGTTGGTTTAACAGAAAGCTGCTTCAGGAAGTTCGTCAACAAAAACATAGCCTGTCAAGTGGGCTTTCTGATGTGGCTTCTATAAGATACTCCAGTGCTTTTCATGTTTCCTTCGTTAGTTTGTGCAGATGGATGCATACAAACCTGTTTGATCGATTTTTTTTTTTTTTTTTTTTTTTTTTCGTGCATACAAACCTGTTTGATCAATTTTTTTGATTAAATTCTTATTCAAGCTTTTTCTTGGGCAGAAACTGAAACAGTGTTATTCAAGCTTTTTCTTGGGCAGAAACTGAAACAGGAGTCAGCGCAGAAGTATGTTTGGCTGCTTAAACGGGTTTGTTTTTTCCATGTGAGATTGTACCAGGGGCTTAGAACAAAATCAATATTGAAAGGTAAAGACTATGTTTGAGTGAATTCCTACATAATGATAACATATTTATAGGTCTGAGCTATGACTAAGTTTTACTCTGCTCAGAAAAAGAAAATATTTCCTGGTAGTATCATCCAAGTTGGACAAGCCCTGGGTAGTAGGGCATCTATTGCATTTATTGAAATTGCCTGCTTGAGTACCCCTTGCCAGCATCACAAGGCTTAGGTTCATTAGATCCAGTAGACAGAAGATTATTTTCTTCAGGGCAACCCCAGCCTTACCATGTGTCATGATGGGATTTCTAAACCCTTCAGTGAGTGTTGAATGCCCTGAGGTGGCCGTGATTCAGGTGCGAGTGGGTGAGAGCTGGAGAAGACAGTGAAGTGGGCTTCCTGGGCTGCATCAAAAGAAGCATGGCCAGCAGGTCACGGGAGGTGATTCTACCCCTCTACTCTGCACTCGTGAGACCCCAACTGTAGTATTGTGTCCAGCTCTGGAGCCCTCAACATAGAAGGGACATGGACCAGAAGGGACATGGACCTGTTGGAGTGGGTCCA